TACTAGAAATATTACGATGTGCAAAGTTTGGAGTACAGACACTCAGGTCCAAAACTGTGCTAGGAACTTCGACATAACGAACATTACACGGAATCCGGAATGCCCAACACAAGGATATCGGCAGGAGAATGGTGCTAAAACCGAAAATAAGCAGGTACCTTTGTGTACGTGTTATGTCAAAACATAGACCATTATCGAAAATATTCAATAAGGATGTTTTTCACCCTTCAAGGATCCCAAATTCCAAAATAAAGCCACTTCGTTTGTTAAATTTTTTGAAGGTTGCTTTCGTCTTGGGTATATATTGCAGAGTATTTGAGCCATTTAAAATAAAATTTTCAGCTGAAAATACAAAAATACATGCTTGGCTCGCCAAATCTATCCCATTTCTATGGGCTATACCCGTTTAGAAAGTGTTATAAAAACTATTAGCCCATGATTTTATCTACTTTAATATTAGACATATGTACGTCATAAAAATGAAATTAAGAAGGAAACACAAATTTTAAATGACGGTATAAAAAATAAAACGAAATGTTTTCCTAACACTGGCTGGCCAAGCAATGTGGTCACGTCACATACATACACTTTTCTGTATGTATGTACGTAGTTAGTTATGTTTTTGTTTTGTTGAGGGGGAGAACTGGCTGGCAAGCTGAACTAGCTGTTTACGTTTCAATCAGTTTATATAGCTTTATTAAATTAATAACAACAAAATCAACGTGTTGCGAATGATGATTAAGCGAATTATTTTCATCAAAACAAAAAAAAATTAAGTCAATAATATTATTGTTGTGAGAACAGTTTAGCTAAATTAACATATTTTCGGTCAGAAACAAAAATACATAAATATATGCTAATCCAAAATTTAATTGAATTACACAGTCTAAACATATTACGAAAATGGCACACGATCGCGGCGGTTCTATGGTTTGATAAGTGTTTCCCCTTTTTATTGCCCTGACAGTGGGAACACAAACAAATACTTGACAAAAAAAGACACTTATTTTAAATAATCATTTTATTCTATTTGATTACATAGTTTCCCCTATTCAATTTGGCTACTCACTCGCCGTAAAAATGTTATTCATGACCATCATCTTGAACAGTCACTGTTGACAGTAAATGATGGCCATTTATATGTAAACAATTATTTAATATTGTTCATTGATTTCAGCAAGTATTGCGAATGGTTATTTTTGTACGACTTGAGAATGCCCTATTGAAGTTGTAATCAAAAAGTAAATGATCTTCAAAAAAATCAAGAGATGAGTACTTGAAGCCTGGAGTATTACACAAACAAATGTTGTTACAGCTGATGACATGTAGAGACTAGATGATTTATTCATCATTAGAATTATCGGTGGGGCATGGGTGGTTAAATTTGTATCACATTTCAGACAGGATATGATGTATATATATATATCAGTATGGTTCGCCTATTATGGATTTCAATATATTTGACTTATTTGGCAAAAATATATTTAAACAAGTAAAAAGTATGTTAAGTTCGGCCGGCCCAACTTTTTACACCCACCATGAGGATGACAATCAAAATATCGAAAATTAATTGAGAAAAAGAAGGTCGAAATTCTCTAAATATCTAATAGTGGGGCTACCGTTATATGGGACTATATGAGAATACAAAATACCAAATTACAGCCAATTCGGTTGGAAAGTCTGTCCAAAATACCGAATATTGGGGAGTATTGAAACTTGGCTCAATATTAATAATTTTCGATACGGATATGAGTTGTTCAATGAGAACCCAAAATAATAAATTACATCCAGTTCGTTTGGAATATGTGTCCAAAATATCGAATATTGGGGGATAGCGAATTACAGCCAATTCGGTTGGAAAATCTGTCAAAATACCGAATATTGGGGTGTATTGAAACTTGGCTCAATATTAATAATTTTCGGTACGGATATGTGTTATTCAATGAGAACCCAAAATAAAAAATTACAGCCAGTTCGTTTGGAATATGTGTCCAAAATATCGAATATTATGGGACCAAAAATAAAAAATAATATAATAATAAAAAAAATATATGAGCTATACCATGAAAACCCAGAATGATGGAATAGAAAACGTGTGCAAAATCCTCAAAATACCGAATATTATTTGTGGGCTACAACAAAACTTAGACCGATATATGACATTTGAAATACCAATTTCAGAGCTCTATCATAAATATTGCGAAGTCTATCGTGATATCAGAAAATCGACATAGAAATTTATTGTGATGTGGTGAATATTTCCCCCAAATTTGGTATTTTGAAGGTTATAGCAGCATTTTGCAACCAAAGGATCTGTGATTCGCTATTCCGGGTCTTTATACAACAATTTCATCTAAACATAAATTGTTACATTAAATTTGTGTATATAAATATGAAATTACTATAAAAATTTACATTTGACAAAAAAAAGTACATGAAAAGGACAAGAGATGCCCCTAATGTAAGTTTTAGGGTATGTGCCCCGACTGGTCTTACTGGCGATACCGTATGACTACAAATAAAAAACAGACCGTTCTATGACACGTATAGGGTACAACCAGTTCCACACGGTCTAGTTTAATATTATATTGTAAAACATATATGGGAAATTACAAAATTCTTTTAAAATTCCATTAAAAAAATTTTGAAAAATTTTTTTGCGAGCACATTTATGATTTTTGGTACATAGGTTAAGAAAAATATGCTGATTCGAAATCTGTTCGCGTTCACAAATTCGGATGCTGCACACAAAAGTTATAGCAGTTTTAAATCTTGTATTTCAAAAATAAATTAAATGGATTCCTATTCGTTTGTAATTCGCGAATTTCTTCACAAATGCTTAAACACCATTGTTTTCTTTGCATACTAGTCAAATCACACTGAAATACGGTTTAATAGTCGCGAAAAACAAATAGAAACATGAAGATATCGGAAAATAAAAAAAAATAATTTTTGAATTAATACAATTTTTTTTTTTTGAATTTTCGTTTTTTTTAGTATGGTTAAGAGGATACGGTTTTGCCTTAACAATACATAAAAATTATCAATATTGAAAAGCTTGCAATTATCGAATTAGTTGAAATCAGTTGATGCGCATGCGATTTTCGTATAAACCGAATCAATGTCTTTCAATAATTATGAATTTTTCGATGTTTAATATAGCGGTCAAAGTGTGCCACTCGATGCACTTTACTATGCAAAAACCTTAAAAATGGCTAAAAATAACGCAACGTGCATACGATTTTTATGCGCATCCGAGTTCAGTAATCTCCTATGAAAATACACAAAATGATACCTATTTTAGAAGGATCGGTTAAGAACAGCGGATGTGCCTCCACAATCAATTTTGGATAAAATACGCATATTATTCGCGTATCGATGTATTTTTTACCTATTTCCACACAGATTCGCGAATTTGATAATACAAGCATAAATGCATGTAAAATTAATTCGAAGAAAACCGCGATTATTTACGCGAATTTGTCAAAATAAGTCTTTGCAGTTTTTCCCACATTCAAGGTACTTATATCCGCGGTTTTATTGGACGGAATTGAACATGGATGGGCTTATTAGATCAGGCACGTAAAAAAACTAAAATCGCGCGGGGTTCCACGGATTTTGAATGGACTTTCTTAATAATAGACTCAAAAAACATGTTTTTTATAAAAATTTACGCACCAAATTTTCGTCTTTGGAACCCAATTGCAAAGAAGCTACAGTGAACACATTCATGAGATATACACTAAACGAAGCAGAATCACGAGTTCTACAATCCTATAATTAGTTTATTCTATTATCTGGATGCGCATCCTAATTATAAGAAAAATTCAAAAAACACGGAACATCCGGCTTCAAAATGTCAGCATCCATTTTGGGTGGATGCAGTGATTATATCGAAAAATCATACATTAGAACCATATTGTCCATGGGGTATTCTGCAACTTAGTCACTGATCACATGTTCGTGCGTTGTGTAGTTTAGCCACAAATCGGGAACGAACACAAAAAAACTCGTTGGCTTCAACACATTTTCACCCATTTTTTTACATTACCACCATCACAGCTTCCACCCAACTTATTATTTATTACCAATATTTTAAGATTTTGACAAGAACACTTCATTTTATAGAAATGAATTTAAATTATATGCAATATGTTCATATTTCGCGAGTTATAACCTTGCAAACCTCAGCTTCAAGGAATTTAAAAGATTTTTGTAATTTCCCATATACTCATGAACACTTAATCAAAAAGATGGGGGTAATTTAGTGCTCCTAAAGACGGAATGCGTAATATGTTATTTAACATTTACAATCTTACCCTATCCAAAAATTTATCCCTTCCCTGACTGTCATGTCATTTTCAAAAAATACCTTGAAAAGATTTATTTCCCTCTAAAATATAAATTCATTAAAATTTCGTTTATGAACCAACCCCCTAGACAAAATCGATAATTTTTTGAAAATGTTTTCAAACGCGTGGGTCAAACAATTCACACACCTGTGAGCAGTGCTTTTCCGACATCTGTCCACGTGCAGATCACAAACAAACGGTAGCGAAATGCCCAAAAAACATCAATTTCACACACACTCAAATCACTCACTCACACGCAAATTCAAATTTTTAAATTTTGGCGTTAATTTCACCCCCCAAAACAACAAAATAAATTCGAATGTTTTATATTGTCATAAACCGCTGCTGTCCATGTATTGGTTCCGGTGTTCAGATGAACATGACTGAGTATTGTGTTTAGCCGATGTATTTGTGTGTGCGAATATGAATACTGTCGTCGGTCGTTATCTGCCTGTTATCATCATCGGCTGGCCGCTGACTACTTAAGTCTCCGCAAACATTCGCCCAATTTGTGATAGCAGGCAGCAGCACCACCTCCACGTAACGTACTCATCCGTGTAATTCGCATGGAATAATAGTTCTGCTGAGTTCTTTTTCTCTCCTATCTCTATCTGTCCCTACTTCTAACGACAATCGGGTTGTGATTGTGTTCAAATAGCGTACGACAGACGTCGACAACTACGTTCGATACCATAGTAAAACGATCGACGAGCCGGAGCAGCATTTCAGTTTTAAAAGCAACAAGTAAAGCACACAGATAGTGTAGTCGCTCGCTTCTATATCTTCGCTTAAGACGTTCTGAAATATTCGGATCGAAATAGAAAAAAAACATTGCATGTAAACAAAACAACAATAATTTTCCGAAAAAAGGACTAACAATTATTTTATTTTTTTTTCTCTCTCTCTACCATTTTTTGGAACTGGAATTTCTTGTGGTGACAAAACAAAATAATAAAAAAACAACAAAACTGAAATTGTGACGTATAGTGAATAAACGTGTGATTTCCTCCTTACTCCTGCTACCGTTGTGGTCTAATTTGGTTTTAGCCCAACGTCCTACCTCAACACTGACACCGCCGTCACTCACCGCCGGACCACAGCAACTTAAACTTCAACTACCTCTTTCAACGGAAAGTATTAGCAGAAATTTTTCCAGCAAAATGCCAGAGAAACGTATTGCCCCAACCATTGATACTGCCGCCGATTTTGAATTAAAATTGCCCGGGTAAGTGAATTTAATTAAAAATTTTCAAATTGTTTACAATTGTTGGCAACATGAATCACATAATTACCAAAGTCCACAAAAATAATGAAAGCATTTTCCACACACACACACATACATTTATGTTCATTGTCCCCCTTTTGTTTGTTACGTAGTAAACATTTGACCTTGGCAGTGATGATTTTTGCTCCATACAATTGTCTTACTCGCCACTGATAAGCTTTTGTTAACAACGTAATTGTCTAAAGAGGGAGTGTAAACATGTATGTGTGTTGGAGTGTTGTCCGATATAGGGATGAGAATGCATTTAAAAAACTATCGTGTTAGGATTTCAGGTGTCAACAACAAAAGGTTTTAAAGTTTTAATTTTGTTCTCATCGTTTATTCTCTTTAAAAATATCACTCGCATGACACGTGAATGTTTATTCCATTCATGCACTTGGGTAATATACAATTGTGGGTTAGTGGAAAAATGTTTGGAAATTATTTATTTTGTTGTCGTGTATTGTAAGGATGGATCAGTTAAAATTTAAATTTTGATTTAATACTATTTCAGATCCTTAAGTTTTACAAAGCAATTTGGGCGGAATTCAAATATAGCGGGGAAAAGTCCAAAACATAACCACCATAGTAGTGTTGGCGTGTTATTTGGGATACCATTTGTATTTTGTTTTTGCAAAATAGTCAGACTGAATCCCAGTTTGTTTAAAATTAATTTTTTTGCAGTATTCTTGTAAGCATATCGGAGGTCTCTAATAGATATCTCGTAAAGTATCGATTGGGAGGGAGACATTTCGCAATAATTTTTTTTATGTTTTTTGTTTGGTGCATTTATTTGTGAGTTACAGGGTGTTAAAATTGGAAGTGAACAAAGAGAAAATTCGGTATATTTTACAGTTTTTCTTTGACAAAGGCGAAAATGCAAGCCAAGCGGTAAAATTGTGTATGGTGTTTATGGTTCCGATACTGTAACAGCCAATTACGTGCAATTTTGGTTTCGTAGATTCCGTTCAGAAATTTTTGGTGTTAAAGATGCACCTTGCACAGGTAGGCTGGTCGTCGGAAATGTCGATAACATCAAAGAAATGATCGAAGTTGACCGGCATGTTAGCAGTTTTAATGTATCCGCCATATAGTCCCGACTTGGCACCAAGCTATTATCATCTTTTTCTTGCATGCAAAATTTCTTTAATTATAAAAAATTGGTATCTAAGAAGGATTGTGATTTTTTTTTTAAATAGAGACCAGGGTTTCTAAGAGAGAGGCAATATGAAGTTACCTTTAAAATGCCAACAAATCATACAACAAAACGGTGCAATCTGACATTTCAAAGCATGTTAAATAAAGTCCTATAGTTCATATACGAATAATGGATTTATTTTTCCCCAACCTAAGGTATGACCGAAGACCTCCACAAACCCTAGGCTGAGGATATATTTTTGTCGGTAAAACCTATTGACACTTTTTTACTTAAAAAAAATCATTTCAATTTAAACCACATATATTCCTTATTGACGCTCAAAAATAGAGGTCATCGATTCCACATTTCAGTAGAAATTTTCTTAACTAACTTTGAAAGGTTGAAATTTCTGAATTAGTGACAATTCGATGATAAATGTAAGGGAACGTTCACGAATTAAATCAAAGTTGCCAAGACCCTCTTGGAAACCCTTTAAACCTTTTTTCGGAAATGGTGGGTTTACCGAAAAAAAAATTGAAACCACACACCCCCCCCAAAAACACTAAAATCTTAAAAATTATGTTTTTTATTAATGCGGGGTGCTTGAACACTCAAAAGAAGGGTGAGCAACCTCATATATTCAGTGAGATGTTTTACATAATGAAAGTTGCTTGCTAATATTTGTATATATATACGCGAAATTATTTGGAAAATATATCTACTATGATTTTTTTTTTTTCAGATAGTTGTGATATATGTTTAATTTGTTTTTCAAATTCTATTAATTTTGTTGCCAAGCCATTTTATTTGCAACATTTTTGTTTTTGTTTGTTTTCGTTCTTTTTGGAAAGCATGTTTTTCCAACTTTTGTTTTTCTTTCTGTGTCGCTTCCCTCCTAATAATGTCAAATTATTTCAGAATTGTTGTTATGATCTCATTATAAGTAGGCCATTTTGAATATATATTAATACGACGCGAGAGGGTGTTTAGGATTTTATTTTATTACCTTTCCTTTATGTATCTACATACGTAAATAAATATATAATTTGTTCCCCAATGCAAAAAAAATAAATTTATGGACCAATAAGAAAATGTGTTTTTATACCGGTACTTCATTGGAAAATTTTTGTCTCATACTATATAAAATATACATACGTATACATTAATGTTTATTAGTAGCACACACATGGAAAACAGTCTCACGCCTTTCACATTTCAGTCTCATAAAATCAAAGTTCAATGTAGAAAAATTTTAGAAATATATATAAATTCCTTTTTCGGGGGCCTGTGCACATTCAAGTGGGTCATGATCTATATAAAATTTTAAAAATTTATTGTTGGTATTAAATAAATAAATACTAAAGTATATTTAGATTAAACATATAATTCGCAGAAATTAGCCGAGAACTGACCTTATTTTTTGCAAATCTTCATTTTGTTTATTAATATTTTTAATATCTTTATAATATATTTAGATCACCGACCCCATTTTCTTAATACATAATGCGTAAAAAACAGCCGAGATTCGCCCTAGTTTTTGGCTAGTTTTTTGCTTTTGTTTTCAAGTTCAAAATTAATTTACGATATCGGGAAATTGGGATGACACAAAACGGATTTATATTGTGGGAATACTCAGGTTATTATTAGTTTTTGAGTATTTTGTTTAGAATATAATCAAAAACAGACTCACACACACACGCACAAACAAATATTAAAACAATTCTTAGTTGTTATGAAAAAAATCAGGCCACTGCCTAGAATGTTAATTGTTCTACTACAGAAAGATCTAGTTCTTATCATTGTACATATAGATATCCCACCGTTTGATTTTGATTCTATGATAAAAATAAAAATTATATTATTTTTTATTTCAAATAATATAGAAATATATTTCCTCTTGATGTGCAATTCATCTCGTTTTGAAAATGTCAGTGTCAAGGATCACATTTAATATTTTTCAATTGTTGGCAAATAATGTGCAGGTTGTCGTTGCTCAATGACCTCGTGGTGCCAATGTTATTGGCCTTGATTGTTAATGAGATTAATAAGGCTGTAGATTGGGAGCAGGAATGTTGATTATTTGTTGTATATTACCTGAAGGTGGGAATCAATGGCCTTCGAATATTTCATATGAAAATATTTTTTGTCCTATTTTATATTGACTCTTGCCATGTTCATCCTTATGTTGCGGGAATTCGTAATATGTAGGGTACAATTATTTTTATTTTCAAAAATATTAAAAAAATTTTAAATTTTAATATACAGGATGAGGTAAAAAAAACTGCAACCAAAGTCAAACGCCATAATTTTTAATTTTTTTGAATGAAAGCAAAAAATGTCGGATAAAACATCAAGATTTTTGAATAAGTTTAAATTTATTCGAATTGGTCACCTATGTCGCGAATTATGGCCTTCAAACGGCCAATGAAACCATCACACGCTGCCCGAATGTTGCTCTGAGGTATTTTGGCCCATTCCCGGCGAAGCGCTTGCTTGAGGTGATCGACACTTTGGTATTTTTAGTGCCAACCTTGCTTTCCAAAATACTCCAGACACTATAGTCCAACGGATTAGTATCCAGAGATTTTAGTGACCATTGTGCGCTGGAAATGAAGCGAAGAACCTCATTTTGTAACCATGGCCGGCGCTTGAGTTCAGGTGGCCAACCGAAGGTGCACATTTTCAGCTGACTTCTTTGGCAAGTAAACACGACCATTTTGTTTGTTTACAAACTGCTGGACAACGAATATTTTCTCATCGGAGAAAACGAAATTCGGAATTTCACCACTTTCGCCCAAGCGAAGCAAATCCTTGACCCTTTTTTCGTCTATTTTCTTTCTGTTGCGGTGTAAGTTCTTGCACTCTGTGGAATTTCAATGATCATAATTAACATTAGGGCTTACTTAAAAAAATATATTTTGCTTTTTATATTTCCAAATATACTTTTGCGCTTGATAGAAGTTAATCTTCTGTAAAACCAATTACAAACAATTAGCTTCTACAGACACCTTCAAATTACAGTTTTCCCTTTTCTTATCAAAGATTAAATGTATAATCTGCCATAATCTTAGCAATTGAAACAAAATATCAGATAACACCATTATGTAATTTAATATGATATCAAAAATTTACAAACAGTATAAATCTTTCGTGATAATAATTTCAAAAATTGTTTTTTTTTTCGTTTTATAGATTTTTGAACAAAAACAAAACCTTGGCATTGCTTTTGGATTACGATGGCACTCTCGCCCCCATTGCTGATAATCCCAAGAAAACTGTTATGCCCATTGCCACCGAAGTTATTCTGAATAAACTGGCCAAACACCCCAATGTTTTCTTAGCTGTCATATCTGGCCGTGGCATTAAGGATGTCCAAGGTCGTGTTGGCATTAACGGCATTATGTATGCCGGTAATCATGGCATTGAAATTGAATCGGAAGATGGCAGCCGTCACGATTATCAACTTCCTGCCGAGGTCCAGGAAAATTATACCCATCTGGTTAAGGAGCTGCGGGCCAATGTTGAAAAGAATAACGCCTGGGTAGAAGACAAGCGTGTATCGTTGACATATCACTATCGTGATACACCCGTCGAAATCAAGGAATCACAAAAACAAGTGGCCATTAAAATTATTGAAGCCCACGGTTTCAGAGCCAATCAAGCTCACGAAGCCATTGAGGCCAAACCTCCAGTAAATTGGCACAAGGGTGAGGCTGCCCTGTTCATTTTGAAACACAAATTTGGTGAAAATTGGGCTGATGAAATTAAAGTGATATTTGCTGGTGACGACACCACCGATGAAGACGCTATGAGAGTGAGTATTAAAAATACACAAATCGATTGACAATTACTTAATTCCTTATCACTTCTGTAATTACAGCTACTCCAAGGCCAAGGCAAATCGTTCAGAGTATCAACAGATCCTGAAATTCAAACCTTCGCCGATTTTAGATTGTCACGTCAGGATTTGGTCAGTGATTTATTGAAATGGATTTCCGATGCCTATGGTGTCTAAGCGCAACAACGACAACAATTTATTAATTTAACAAATTATACTATTATTATTATTACTATTATTATTTTATTTACTACCATTGTATGTAAAGACCTCCCCCTATTTGTAGTTTTAAGTGTTATTCAATTTTCATTTTTTTCGTTGTTTGTTTTATTTTATTTTTAATGTACAACAACAATTTAAACGGGTACAGAAAAATAATATTACAGTCGTAAACACAAACAAATATACATACATAAATACATAGATATTATTAACATACTCATGCATCTTTAGTCTATAGATATTGTAGTGAAAAAAAAAATATGTCATCCCCTATTTGCCTTATCCTCCAACAAAATATTTCACAAACAATTATTTAATAAATGAATATTTGAAAAAAGAAAATTCTGTATACACGTTTTTATATACTCACAACATAATCTTCATGTTTGAGCCATTTTTATTGTATATTGTCGCTTGAATTATCAGTGCAGTAACAGACACATAGTTTGACGTTTTGGGATATATAGGACGAACTGATTCGACGTATGTTGAATTGACACAATTGAATTCCGACAAATATTACCATAATAATTTGTATTACACAAGGACTCACTTTAGATGTCATAGATAGTTTCAAACTATAGGTATTTAGTACCCAAACCCCCCAAAATAACAAATAAAGGTTTATCCATTTCGTGGTTTCAAAAGTAATTGTCTGGATTCGACTAATTTTTTAATTTCAGTTGAAAAGGTTTCACTTAACCAATACAAAAAAGTGAACAAAATTTTCTTTGCAAGAGACATTTCATGGCCAACAACAACATGTGATTTGACAACATTAGACTTTTTATTGGGTTACGAGAAACACCGTGTTTATGCAGATAAACCAACTCTTGAGAAATCCCAATAAGTTTCAAAAAGTAGTCGAAAATGACCCCAAAATAATGCTTGCAACACTTGCGAGGACATTATTTAAATAATGTATTGTTTCACAAATAAGACCCCATGTTTTTTTTTTTTTTGGTCGAAATCCGATAGGTTGCACGATAACTGTCGGTTTCATTCAAACTTTGCATCAAAAAATCAAGTTCGAAGATGGGGAACATCTGTCCAGTTCTTCTTTTGGTTAAAATGCATCATTCCTACGAACTATTCTAAAAATTGAGTTTTATTTTTCTATTTAAGGGGACCCCCCCATTCTCGGGGTCAAACATTTTGTTGATATAATTCGAATCTATACTAATTAAAGAATGTCCCTACAAAATTTCAAATGAAAATCTCAAGAACTCTTGAAGATATAGCCGATTTATTGTGTCAGCATCAAGTGACGGCTGAAGGGCTTCTCAAACTTTAAACGCGTTTTTCTCTAAACATTTTTTGCGAATGGCAGGCACGATAACTCAAAAACTAATAACCCAATCGACTTCAAAATTTTACACGTTTCTCTGTAAGTGTATAGTTATCGTATGAACTAGGATAAAGCCAATCGGTGAAGATCTTCCTTAGTTTTAAACTTGGGTTTTGGTAAAAAATCGGCGATTTTCCAAAAATATTTTTTCAAAGGTCCACCAATAATCCTAGTTCATACGAGAGCCAGACATGTACTTCTTCTAACACCGTTGGAATTTTCGGATTCCGATGTTTCAGTGAGGAGTTATCATGCCCGCCATCAAAAATAAGGACTTTTCTTTAATTACAAAAAACAACAACAAAACTA